GGTGACACAGCTTTAAAAGTGTTGCTTAACACTGATTAGAATGGTTTGGATCCTTTACATCTATAAATTATAACGTTGCAGCTGTAAGATTTTAAAGTCGTTAACTGAAGAAGAAAGGAAATAATAAAGTGAGTGAGCATGGGGTAGCAAAATCAAAGGACGGATAGAACACATGAAGTAGTTACGAAAAATGTAATGTAGCAAGTAGAAATGTAAGGAGATAAACTATTTAGTAGGAACGTTAAGATACATGCACATTTTGAGTGATAGATAAAATGAATGTTGAATTGTCTAAAACATGAATAAGTTTCCTAGACTTTTTTACACGGCTGCATGCTGTAGGGCGAATTTTTTCTTTGTGCAAAACAAGTTGTCAATAACGGACTTAGCCTCGGGAGGGGAGAGAATTTGCATGAGACATCTCACTGTTCATAAGAAGTAATGGTTACCAGTTACAGATGATCTATATCAAGACAGAAGGATGAATCTTTGCCAGTTATATAAAAAAGCCGAAAACGTCTGGTTGTTTGGATTTACTTTCACAGATTTCGTTTGGCAAATAGATTTCAATATGCTAGAGAAAATAATACTTAACCTGAAAATTAAAAATTTCAAAGTTAGTTGGCTTCGGGCCAATACTTCAGAACGGCAAAAAATGGCAGATGAAAGAAATATTATAAAACTACGAAGGATGTAACAGAAAACCGACAATGTCAAACACCAGTAGTGCCAACAACACGAAGTTTCATTCGATTTCGTTTACTCTTTTTCGTTCTTTCTGTTCCATAGGCAAATCTGTGCCTCTGGAAGTGACACGAAGGTTGGGATACCTGCGGTTTGAACTGGATTTCTTCCTCTGACAGAAAATAGGAATATTTCTCAGATACTAATATTCCAGGTTTAACTACAGAAGCTAAGATAAAAACAAGTAAAAATATTATTAAAAAATCGCCAAAAAGCTGAATCGCGATAATTCAACGTAAAGGGATCGACAGATGGTCCGATAATATGAAGAATAATAAGAAGAACAGGTTAATATCAATTTCGTGTTTACACTTTCCCTTGAAGTTACAAACTGGGTTGATAGCACAATTCGCATTCAGCTTATCAGACGGTTTACTGATGTGAAGAAACAACAGGCCTTCACGTGTAGTACCATGGCTGTATTCGATGTCCGTTCAAGTTTGGCTATGCTATAACAACATTCTGACCTCCCTGATGCTCCCTTATGAATCACTTACTACCAATTTCTCTACTCGTCGCACCGAAGCTCAAGAGAATTCGCGGTTAAGACAAAAATCATCTTTTTCGCCATCAATTGAACTCCATGTCACTGACAACGCACGCCTCAATGTCTTAGCAAATTATTGGAAAAAATACGTCAAATGAAAACCATCTCCCAAACTTGAATAGAAATTAACATATTTTACACAAAATTGCAAACAAAAATTGTAATTTCTATTATGCAACTTTGCAAACTGAGGAGTTTACGTCATTAAGAAATGAGCTTTTTCCTCAGAGCAATCAAAGGAAAACACACTACAGCAGCTGAATGGAGTAGAAAGTGCGTGGTAGATGAGTGAGATTAAGAAACTACAAGCTCCGTTGACTCGATTGAATGGAGAATTCTTAAGCGCGGCAAATCAACTAAAACGAAACGTCGAATAAACCAAGGTCTGACAATCAGGACTAACCTCTACAAACAATCATTCACAGGCTAAGTTACGATCGACCAACTTTAATCATTCTATGATACGACCAAAATCCACAATACGCAAAAACACGATTAAAAAATGTCCTGATGGAAAGAAAATATGGAAATGAAAAACGAAGCGCAACCGCGTCACTTAGTTGAGTTCAACAAGGGCATATTTAAGCGCAAATAAAATTTTCATAACCTGCAAGCAACTATATCGGAAAGGCAGCTTCCACGAGCGTCCTGTGTATTGCAGGCGCTTAAATATTATGGAGCCGTAATCTACTTAAACGGCACTATAAGCCACTAGAAGCAAAGGGTTGGTGCAATACTGCGGTATAACTCCGTGCAATGACTTCCACCTTTCTGACACTACTTCAGCACCGGTACAATGTAAGGAAAAAATTTTCTTATAGTAATTTTCCGCTCATGTAAATCCGGTGTCAGTATTTGAAATAGGAAAGAAAGGATCCTTAAAAGCCACATCATTAGGAGGACGAAAACACTACCACGTCGATCGGAACCGGTACTCTACTTCCTAATATGACTACCATGTAACTGAGATGCAGGCTGCTGACCACAATCATTCCTATCTGTAACAGCTTTCAGTTTAAACGACTGACTCCACAGGGTTCAAAAACTGCCTTCAACATTCACGCGTACTGCAGCATCTGAAGATAACC